AGTAAGGTAATCTTAAGATCATCTTCAGTGACGTCGTCATAAGTGTTTCACGGTGGCGCACACAGCGAAATCCACTGGTGAAACGTGTGTATAAAATTCAACCGCTTCGATGACATGCCGTGCCCCATGTCTTCTTTTCATGGCGGCTGCGAAGCTTGGAGACATCCTATGATAATCTATGGTATCAAAAAAGCTTGGTTTGTTGGTGGCATGACATCCAGTCTTGGAACAGCCCAAAAGCACTCCATCACCCATTCACTGAAAGCCCAGGAAGGTACCAAACAATAGCTGGAACTGCGAGCTAGTTTCCTCCACGACAATGTTGAGTGTAAGTTTTAAATGACCATAAATGACCAACCGTCAGAAATGATCATAATGTCATATATGTTTTTTTCAGTGCACACCTTCCCAGTAGGGTACCACTCATTTCTGCTCATACTCGCATCATTGACTGGAAAAAAAACACGCAAATTCTTGGCCATTTGGTAAATTAACAGTAAAGATGGATGGTAACCCCCAAAAAGATAAAAAGTAATTCATCACCATTTAAGTAGCATTTTGCTGTTCTACACCATCTTTTCCATCTGTTTTTCGGATTTTTCATACTTCATCATCGCCATGCGATCGCCAGCCAAGGCTCAGCCAACTTGTGGTGATATTTGCACATCATTTAACATCCATCAGCCAATAAAAACCCACCATTCATGTTCATATCTTTCTTGGTGAAATCCCTATCCCGTGGGTTTTGTAAAACAATGCCATGTTTACCAGCCATGACTGGGAATGGTTGATTTATACCTATAAATTCATCGTCGATTTCTTCAAAGATGGTGATTTCGATGGCGACGCCCATAGCTTCCCGGCTCGCCGAGGCTCGGCCACCTTATCCAAGCCGAAGATCACCACGAAGGCCACCGCGGTGACCGACAAGGCCGACAACACGGCCTTCATGGAGCCGTCCAGGTGAAGATGGGAGGCAATCCACCAGTCCTGGACCATGGGATCCATGGGAAAATCATGGGAAAATCCACGTGATAAATGGGATTCTGGCACCAAAATGATAACTTTTTACTGGGTGAATTTGAAAAACTAGAAAAACATGGAGCTTTGATTGGGAAAATCATTTATTCTCAAAAAAACACATGAAATATCATTTTTTTTCAAACTTGGGCCCACAAGAAAAAATTGGAAAGTTAATATATATATATATACATACATAGATAGATAAGAATATGTGGAGGTTTCCAAAGTCATGGGGGGTTTCCCTAAATCATCCATTTGTTGAAGGGATGTTCCACATCCATTTTGGGGATTCATTCATTTTTTTGAAATAATCAGTGATTTAGTGGAAGCACTATCTGGTTGGTGGTTGACCTACCCCTCTGAAAAATATGAGTTCGTCAGTTGGGATGATGACATTCCCAAAATATGGAAAGTCATAATCCAAATGTTCCAAACCACCAATCAGACTATTTTGGTGATTCATTAGATCCCATTGAAGCCATCATTTTTTTCGGGGATTTTCCATGAAAAATCGACCATCTAGCCTTGATCACCCATCAAGCCGGGATGCTGCAGCAAAAAGAAGGCACCAAGCGAAGCTCATCGATGAAATTCCTGGAGCTTGCGGATTTTCTGGGAAACATATGGGAAACATATGGGAAATATATTTGGGAAATATGGAAAATTATGATTTCCCACATATTTTTGATCATATCATTGCTAATGTTTATAGGAATCCATAGGCGAAATACTGGGAAATGGGATGTCCAACCAAACATATCAATCATTATCAGAGTGTTTGATCTATTAAAACCGCTGAAAACATCAAAAATTGAACCTGAAACAAAAATGGTTTTACTTACTATGTTTCACTACTGGGAATCTACTGGATATGGCCCAACAGTTCGGTTTCAATGCAGCATGCTGATACAGCCGCATTTACCACTGAATTCCAAGGACCCTGAAGATTAATGCCCCGTAATTAAATGTACATATATAATATAATAATAGTTATTATTATCCTAAAATTGTAACTATACAGAATATATTATTAAAATGAAATAACAACAACTATCAATAACAATATATATATATGTATATAATAACATATAATACAGTAATATCTAATTACTTCACTTCAAATGATCCCCGACCATGGCATTTATACATTTTCTTACTGGCAAATCTTCTGGCATTCTATCTGACATATCTTCTGGCATTCTATTTTATCTGGCATATCTTCTGGCATTCTATCTGGCAAATCTTCTGGCATTCTATCTGGCATATCTTCTGGCATTCTATCTGACATATCTTCTGGCATTCTATCTGGCAAATCTTCTGGCATTCTATCTGGCATATCTTCTGGCATTCTATCTGACATAGCTTCTGGCATTCTATCTGGCATATCTTCTGGCATTCTATCTGGCCGTTGAGGTCCGGCAGTGCCCACTGGGATCTGCAGCTCGCGGTTGAGGTCCGGCAGTGCCCACTGGGATCTGGAGCTCGCGGTTGAGGTCCGGCAGTGCCCACTGGGATCTAGAGCTCGCGGTTGAGGCCCGGCAGTGCCGGCACTGCGATCTGGAAGTCGCGGTTGAGGTCCGGCAGTGCCCACTGGGATCTGCAGCTCGCGGTTGAGGTCCGGCAGTGCCCACTGGGATCTGGAGCTCGCGGTGGAGGTCCGGCAGTGCCCACTGGGATCTGGAGCTCGCGGTGGAGGTCCGGCTGTGCCCACTGGGATCTGGACTGCGAGGAGGAGGAGGAGGACGAGGAGGAGGAGGATGCGGAGGCGGAGGAGGAGGAGAACAGCTCTGATAAAATCTAACAACCCTCACCTGGCAGGTGGGGAATAATGAAATTACTTTACTTCGTGTGATCCCCACCATGACATTTATACATTTTGTTGCTGGCAAATCTTCTGGCATTCTATCTGGCATATTTTCTGGCATTCGATCTGGCATTCTATCTGGCATATCTTCTGGCATTCTACCTGGCATATCTTCTGGCAGATGTTCTGGCATATCTTCTGGCAGATGTTCTGGCATATCTTCTGGCAGATGTTCTGGCATATCTTCTGGCATATCTTCTGGCATATGTTCTGGCATATCTTCTGGCATTCCATCTGGCATTCTATCTGGCATATCTTCTGGCATATTATCTGGCGAATCTTCTGGCATTCCATCTGGCATTCCATCTGGCATTCTATCTAGCATATCTTCTGGCATATCATCTGGCAAATCTGCTGGCATTCTATCTGGCAAACATTCTGGCACTTTATCTGGCATTCTATCTGGCATACCTTCTGGCATTCTATCTGGCATATCTTCTAACATTCTATCTGGCATATCTTCTGGCACTCTATGTGGCATATCTTTTGGCGTGGATACTCGCGGTTGAGGTCCGGCAGGGAACACTTGGCATGGATACTCGCAGTTGAGGTCCGGCAGGGAACGCTGGGCGTGGATGGTCGTGGTTGAGGTCCGGCAGGGAACACTGGGCGTGGATGGTCGTGGTTGAGGTCCGGCAGGGAACACTGGGCGTGGATGGTCGTGGTTGAGGTCGGCAGAGAACACTGTGGATCGCGGGTCGCAGTTGGACGAGGACGACGAGGACGACGAGGACGACGAGGACGACAAGGACGACAAGGATGACAAGGAGGACGAGGAGGACGAGGAGGAGAGGAGGAGAGGAGGAGGAGGAGGAGGACGAGGCAGGAGGAGGCAACTGACATAAAATCTAACAACCCTCACCTGGCAGGTGGGGAATAAAAAAATAAATTATAGTAGGTGATTTAAAAAAACACATATTAAGTAGTTATTTTAAAAAATGAAAAATCAATAATACAGTAATAATAACAATAATAGTAATGCTCAATAATTATAATCATAAATAAATAAATAAATAAATATATATATATATTACCCTAAGGGTCCCGATGAACACCCGGGACGTCCCTAGGTTCGACCCCTCGCACCAACATCCATGGAAGACCATGAGGGGTCACGATTCTCGACCTGTTCTGGGGACATACCCTTAGGATCATAGATAGAGAACATCAATGATTGGGTAATGTTTAGTCATGTTTTGTCCCTTTTTGTCCCTATTCATCTTTACGATATCAAAGGGGAAAGTGTTCCAGCCCTGACTGCTCCCAGCATTTTTGCTCTTGCCCGGCCCAACGTCACGGCCAAAACGTTCAACCTGCGAATCTCTGCTGCAGCTTCAGTGTTTTCAGGGGGCAAGGTTGGACAATTGTTATAGTTCCACTTTAGCAAAATGCAATGCCAATAAAAGTTTGTACCTTTGAAGGCTTCTGAGGTGTAGGGATGCCCGGTGGCAGGTCCGAGCCAACCTACCCATCTGCCCAATGTAGGACTCGGCACAAAGAAGGGTACACCAAGATGGATTGATTTTCGATGTTCGGGCATCCTCCAGCATATGCATAAAATGGTGATGCTTCGGGAGCAATAGCCACAATGCCCTGTTGAGCACCCCATGTCCACGGACCCCGGCTTGAGCTGCACTCAAGGAATTCAAATACCCGTAAATTTCCAAGTGTTGCATCCCTTCCTTGTAGAGCTCATTCGCTTGATCATCGGACAAGAGAACTGGTAGCTCCTAGTGATGGCAGGGTAGACCCCGGAAAGCAAAAAAAAATGGAGATCCAACCTTTTTTAACATATGCATATAAAACCGCTGGGCATCAGAATAAGGCTAGTAGAATGCCGCCTAGGTTCATCTAGGAGTCTCAAGACTTCCGCGTAGCTCCAAATGCAATTGGCAACATGCTTGTCTAGTTCAGTGGCACCATCCCTTGTCCCATTTTCAATCGCACACTTGGAAAGCCAGAATGTCAGAGCCTTTGACGCAGCTGCTTTTGAACTTAAGCAAGGGTAGGAAGTTCGTTGAACCCGAGACAGACGCGATGGTGTAAAACGCGGCTGCGTAACACCAAGTTTCATAGATGATTTCCATTCATTGAACTGGCGGTATGCAATCTTGAGACACTGCGCCATACAAACTGGGTATTGGCCAAAATGCCACCCACCAAAAAAGCCAACTTCGCAGAGGTAGGTCAAAACGCTGCCGTTGCAAACTTTTCCAGTGCCTAACAATTGACTATGGCAAACGTCATGCATGAATCGCTCCAGGCGACAGCCAGGGATTTGAAACAACGGATGGTAATCTTCTGGGGATCCACCAAGCCGTGCAAAAAAATTGTCATGCGACACCCTGGTTTGTCTATGGGCCGCTTCTTCTCTGAAATCCCCCAAAGTCATGGAAAGATCATCGTGCGTTTTGTGGCACAAACACCATGAACAAAATAGGTTTTTGTGGTAGTTGTGCAGCCCAAACTTCTCAAGCAACCATTTGAGGTCCCCTTGCGTGGAGGAATATACGAATTGATAACCAGAGCCAGTCCAGGGATGAGAAATGCACGGATCACACATGGCGGTGATTCTAGGGACAAGCGCAGTCCAAAGATCCAGAAAGGTTTGAGGCGTAGTGTAGTGGTCCGGCAGCACACAGATTGTAAAGTATCTGGACAATGATGGCAATCCAGCACTAAAATCACTGCACCAAGCTACTACTGAAACCACCCCACCCTCTGTGTTCCGAAAACTTTGAACTTCATCTCCGTACAGCGACAGCGGGATAAGTTTGTCAGGATGGTTGGACGCCAAGGCAGGGTGTTCCTTCATCCAAGTTGAATTCTGTTTGGTATGTGCCCAAAACGAAGCCGGGTCCACCTTATCACCAAACATTACCTTTTTGAACAGCTGCTCACTTTGCTGAAACAATGCGCTGGCCATTTTGTCAGGGAATATCACTGACAAGTTTTGTAGGGACTCTTCCTCGGTCTTCGGATTGTAGAGATGGACTTGGACCTGTTCTATTTCAACATCCAGGGCGCTCTCAGTTCTCAAAATTAATCTTTGTAGATCACGTTCGCAATTGCTGGTAAATTTTCCACGACTACCAATGGAAGCAACCTTCCGCAAAGTGCTATTTGCTGGTAGAACTCCCCCACAGCGGTCAGCTAGTTGCACAGCTGCTGCTGACAGCTGTTGTACCTTACTCATTCGCGAGATTAGGCCCCATCCCAAAAAGATGACAAAAGATTGGTACGTAACTTCTTTACAATTCCCCAACATCAGCTATCAAATCAATTCATGAAAATAGAACTGGCGTCTTTCACAGCGCTCATTCTCCCACAGGAAAAATCATATAGAAGGATGTCACTCAAGACGTTCCCAACATCTTGGTAGGAAGATGAAGATGAAGTTGCATTTGCCATTTCCTGGGGGAACAGAACAGAAAGGATAAAAAAATGGCACTGTTTTCATGGTAAAGGTAGGGAGTTGGTGGTTTAGATGACCCTAACCCCTTTTAGTTTGCTAAATACGCACTTTCCAATTTAAACTGCCCCGTCAAATTTTAGTATAGGTCAAATTTTATAGGTGATAAATATGGATCAGGTTTTTTTTGGCGAGAGGCGATATACCGTGTATATTAAATGTACATATATATATATATCTACATCTATATGCATACCATATGTATGTACACGTGCGTCAGGTGCTGTATATATGACATTAACACATGTATCATGAATATTATATACCTATGCATATGTACAGGCCTGGCAAAGAGGTAAAAATAAACCTATTTTCAGACATGGTGATGTCAGAGAGACCTATGCCTTTTTTTATGGATATCCTAGATGGGTTGTACCCAGTGACCGACGGCTGTCCTTGGCCAACCGAGGATTCTGCGATGGCTTGACCTGTGGCCGCGCGTAAGGACAGGGATTTTGGGCAGAGATGGGGAAATAGTGGTGGTTCCTAAAGTTATGGTAGCGAATCAGACTGGTTTGGAAGGTATAGAGTAGCTCCAAGAAATGCCCCCCCAACACAGCCCATAATCCAGTGAAGTGGCCTTTCCAATAGCATTGGCCCTCTTTTGGTGCAAGCCTCCATAGGCGATCGAACCCAGTGGTTAATATTGGATGTATACACCCCTTATTTTACATTGCCGTTATATCATGTTATGCCACATGAATATTTCTTTGTGATGCTTCCCGAGCAATGCAAAAAAGGCAAGCCTTATCAAATAAAGCCACCTATAGGATATGTATATGCACACAAACCGGTGCAAAGCTAGAGGCCATCTTTCCCCAAGCGTTTGACACCGTTTGGCGATGAACTGATTTTGGCGTGTGCAGTCACACGCGGCGCAACTGTGCCTAGCCAGCTGCACAGCCCTGTATCCACCATTTTTTGGTAAGCCCATGAGCATCTGTGGACCAGCTAGCATGTGTTTTCTGAAACATAGGCTGTGGTGACCCTATGGCACAAGCTTCGACCCATCCCCAAAGGATCATGGTTTCACGACCCTTTCAAAAGCATACGTATTTAAAGGTCATGCCGTGCCCGGCAGGATTTCACAGGTCATCGTCTTCACCAGCTTCCTCAGGCAAATGCCGGACAGGGCGGCGGAAAGAGTGATGGGATGACCTCATATAAGGGTCGCCATGAAAACATGCAATTTTCCGAAACAAGTGCATGAGTGCTTCCTCTTAGGAGAACCGTGTCTGATGTAACGCTTAGCATAGGTCAGGGTCCCATTCTTAGAATCTACTGAATCCATTTGCTGTCATGAATCTCTCTTAGATCTCTTCTCCTTCTTGGGTCTGCAAAGACCGTCAGCGGCTTCCTTATCCTCGTGGAACATGTACTGGCGATCCATGGCCAACTTCGTAGCAGCTTCAATCTGCCCAGGGATTGCGTTGTCTTTGCCCTGCCAGGCTGTTGTGGTGAGACGTACTATGGTTGAGGCCACTTGTCACTTGTGGTAAGTGGGGGCATGGTGATGCAAACACACCAATCATGGATTTCCCAAAGCCTGGCGAATCAAGCCCTTCAGCTGGTTGTAGCTGGTTTCAAGCTCTGTGGCATGGTTGGCCAAGCTGGTGCCTTGGGAAACCAAATGACTGGACTAGGGATTTACGTATGTGATCATGGCTTGCCTGGGCTTCAAATAATCTATTTTAAAATCTTGCAGGTTCTTGCAGGGTGGAGGACTAAATAGGACATCGAGCACATGAACGTATTTCACTGGTTTTTCGAAACTAGGCACACAATGCCTGTTGGTGCTGCATGTGGTTCAACTTCAAAGGGATAGTTCTGCACGTCGACAGATCGACCAAGAGCTTCGGCAAAAGCCATTCCGCAGCAGCGAAAGGCTCTTCTGGCATCTCCTTCTTCCTCAGATTTCAGATTATTATTTTTTAAATAACCATATGCCATATGTTGACTGATTAAATTTGCTTATAACACAATTCAGTACGAAGTGGTTACAGCCATTGAACCATCACATTGCTTCAGTAAGACATTCATCAATGTGTTTTTTGCAATTATAATTGAGTTGATTGTACTTCTCTACAGCCATGTTTCTTTCGACTTCCAGTCGGTTGGCCCTTTCCCCTGCCCTTGTTCTTGCCCTTGCCCAAGATGGTAGGGTTGCCATTCCCCTGATTCTCATCCGTATTTCCACTGGTGTCAACCTTGACATGGTTTCCCACCCGTGGCAGGTTCGAGACATCAGTGCCAAGTCCGCTCAAAACGTTGTCGGTCAGGAGCGCTCCCGAAGCCTCAGCAGGGCGGGCCATCAAGGAAAGAAGGTCCCAACCTGTAACCTTAGAAAACATGGTGACCATTGGCGACATATGTTCCAAAAAAAATGTGACATCATCTACATGAAATTTGCACTTGCCCCCATGGAATCCCTTAAAGAGATGGACGAGGCTGCTGGAAGCGGGCATTTGTTTTTGCATCATTGGTATATCAGTCCCATCTCACAGGAAGGGGCCCTATAGTTAGGCAACTTGGTTATAACTATGTGGGGTTCACATAGGGGGCACAACTATAGTCAAATTGTGTTTTAAACCAACTTATAACTAGGGGTCCCTTTCCTGCATAGGCCCGTTGATTTTATGTTGAACCCTGACTTTGATAGTTTTTCTTGTTCCAAAAACGCCACACCGGTTTTCCCGAAAAGGCCACTACGTTCTTCCCTGCCTCCGAACCAGCATCCAGTGCCCCCTCAGCCCGGATCTCCGTCTTGTCTTCGTAGACATCTTCATGGGCGTGGCTCATTTCGACAAGCACCTAGGGCGTGATAAGGATATTTGATAGGACATAGATGGGAAAAAATGGGTACGTTTTGGAAACCAAAGGAAATATATAAGATATTTGATAGGACATAGATGGTGAAAAAATGGATACGTTTTGGAAACCAGACACGTTACAATTATTCTTATAGCATCTGGTTTGCATATGATAGAAAGATAACATATATAGGGTTTCATCGGACAGAATAACGATGTTTCAATTGCGATTCCTGAAATACATCTATATGATCGAACACAGGGATTTTGGTTGTCTTACAATCCCCAGGGGAAACCTTGGTAGTTGATTCAAGGAACATAGTACAGCATCATGCCCTGATCATCCGGCAAGTCCGGATGCTCCCGAAATTCGCCAGTGCTCCTCTTCCGAAGAATCAAGGAATCAGCCAACTGAACGTTCCCGTTCAACATCATGATGATCTGGTCCCGGGTTCGCCAACCTTTGGCTTTGAAAAATGTTTAGAATATGGTTTGCTGTCATGTTTTACCATGCAACAAGAAATGGCATCCTGGTGAAACCCAGCCACCCATTTTCTTCTTCCCCTTCTCACGATCAATGCGAGCACGCGTTTGGCACACAGTGATCCTGAGGAGAGATCATGGGCCATTGACAACTTGAAGATAACACCAGTGCAAAATAAACTATCTTTTTGATTGTTTCATGTTATATTGGTCATTTTCAACTTTGTGACAACTAACTGAAGACAAAGCTCTTCGACCAAGACCCACCAGCTGCGCACCACAGCTGAAACAACTTGTTCTTAGCGCTTCTGCTGTTGCTGGCTACTGCCTGCTCCCAAGCCTCAACAAATTCTTGGGGCACTGTGATCGATGAAATCTCACCCGTCACCTGCCTTTTGAACGCAGCATAGTGTGACTGCCTTTCCTTTGTCGAGGCTGGCTGAAGGCTGTTGCTTGAATCTGCCACATGGAACTGCTGATCCAGCGGAGTGGGTGTTGCTGCTTTGGGCGCTGATGCTTGCGGTGCTACTGCTCGCTGCACTGATGCATTGGGCGCTGGCACTTGAGGTACTGGAGGTGTCCAGGCTGGGCGGCAACTTGCTTTTGCTGGAGCTACGGCAGCGTCTGGTGCTGTGGATGCTTGCGTTGATGGGGGAGGTGCTGCTGCTGCCAACGGTGGAGGATGGGTTGGCGTTGCTGATTGGGATGGGGCAGGTGCTGCTGCTGCCAACGGTGGAGGATGGGTTGGCGTTGCTGATTGGGCTGCCTTTGGTTCAGCTGCTTCCTGTGCGGGCTGCTCGATTTTTGCAACGTGCTGTTGGCTCTCTGCATCAAGCTGCGTGGCCGAAACTTCTGCACTTGGTGTCGCACTTGGTGCCGCACTTGGTGCCGCACTTGGTGCCGCACTTGGTGCTGCAGAAACAGTTGGTGCTTGGGAGCTTGTCTGCGTGGCCAGAACTTCTGCACTCGGTACCCCAGGGACAGTTGTTGCTTGGGAGCTTGCGTGTCCATCGTCCCAGCTGACAGCCCTGTTGACTCTGGTGGCTCTGGATGGGGTGGCGACAGGCTTCAAGATTGTTGGTTCAACGGGTTCCTTTTTGGTCACTTGGCTGGCCTCTGGCATGGTCACTTGGCTGGCCTCTGGCATGGTCACTTGGCTGGCGTCTGGCATGGTCACTTGGCTGGCCTTTGGCATGGTCACTTGGTTGGCCTCTGGCATGGTCACTTGGCTGGCCTTTGGCATGGTCACTTGGCTGGCGTCTCGCATGGTCACTTGGCTGGCGTCTCGCATGGTCACTTGGCTGGCGTCTCGCATGGTCACTTGGCTGGCCTTTGGCATGGTCACTTGGCTGGCCTCTGGCATGGTCACTTGGCTGGCCTCTGGCATGGTCACTTGGCTGGCCTTTGGCATGGGCACTTGGT